TGTGTGTGTGTGTGTGTGTGTGTGTGTGTGTGTGTGTGTGTGTGTGTGTATTAAGGCTAAAATAAACTTCCTGGTGTCATTCTAGAAGTTTGACTGAACTGGATTTCCTTCTTGCCTCTCTTAAATCGGTTTTCTCCCAGTCTTAGCATTTGCAGAGACCGCCCCCCCAGGACTTCAACATCACCCCTGGCTACACGGTGAGTTTAAGGCTAGCCCTCGGCTACATAAAACCTTATCTCAAAAATTGAAAACAAAACAAAACATTTTTTTAAGTTAAAAAAAAAATTAGGAAGGCTGGCCACAGTCTATACTTTCAATTCTCAAACGGGAGACTAAAGCAAGAGGGTGGTGAGTTTAAGGCCAGCCTAGGCTACATAAAAAGATCTATCTCACAAACCAGAGACAAATAAAAGAAGAAAGGGGAAAAAAAGATACCTACCGACAAAAACAAGTCTATCATTCAAGAGTCTCTACAAAAAAAAAAAAAAAATGGCTGTGGCTTCTGCTACTGTAAGAAGGAAACCAGACTCAGAAAATGTGCAATGGTGCACGTCTCCAGTTATCTTTTCCTGCCACAAATCACCCCAAAGTTAATCAAGTAAAAGACCAACGATTTTATCTTTTACTTAAATGAATTAAATGTATTATTGTTACTTTTGTTATTATGTGGGGTTTTGGTTTTCTGAGACAGGTCTCATGTAGCCCAGGCTGGCCTCAAACTTGCTATGTATGTAGCTGAAGACAACTTTGAAGTCCTGATCCTCCTGCTTCTGCCTCCCAAGTGCTGGGATCACAGACGTGTGTTCCCCATGCCTGACTTAACCACTTCTCTATGTCGCTCAAACTCCATGGGAGCTCATTATGTGGCCCAGACTGGCCTCCGGCTCTTCGTGTCCTGCCTCAGTCTCCCGAACACAGGGATTACATCGTGCCTGGCACTTGACCATCTTATTGTAGTCTTAGCATCCGTGGATCAAAAGTCTCCCAGGCTACGCCAGGGGAGGCTGAACTTTGTCTTCCGATGTTTGGGGCCTCTGCTTCAGTTGTGAGTTGCTGGGGTCTGGAAGCATATGGAGGCTTCTTCATCCACACGCCTAGCGCCTGAACTTGAATCTGAAAGACCATGCTTAATGGAGACTGGTGGCAAATGGCCTGTGTACCGGGAGTGTCCAAAATGAGAGTTCTAAGAAATCAGGGACAGCCACACAGCCTCAGAAGTGACACGGTGTCCCTTCAACCACATCCGCTGACTCAAACAAGTCCCTATGGTTAGCCCAGATGCTGGAGAAGAATTAGACTCTGTCTTCACGGGCAGTACCAAGGTCATACTGCCTGTGGGATGGGAGATGGGTCATCTCTACCTTGGGGTCAACGACAGCCGGCCACGGCTAACAAAACAGCCGATAATGTTTAAGTGTAAAAAGTCATTGATTTTTATCAACAGTGATACTAAATAATTTACTATGGTAAAATCAAATTGAAACACAGTATCAGATGACAGCATATAGACAGGGGAGGAGGCAATGGGAGCTGAAGTTTTTCAGACCCTTGTCATTGCTTGGGAGGCGCACAGAGGAAATTGATCAGTTTTATCTCTCAGTCAGCTACGCACGACAGAAATATAACTTAACCACTGAGAGAATCAGCAGCAGGAGAAGATGCAGGAGGCTGATGCTGAGCCTCACCCCCACACGAAGTGTGGCATGCTCACTTGAATCCAGAGGGCTCAGGAGAGTCAGTCCTCTGTAACCTGAACGTCTAGACCTGCAGTCAACCAGCTGCATATACAGAATATTCTAGAAAAGCAAAACTACTGACACCGCACAGGTTCTCTTCTTGTCACTTTCCCATAGTCAACGAAGTATGTGAATGATTTGCAGGCCGGAGAGCTCTTTCAGTGGTTAGGAGCCCTGGCTGCTCCTGCAGAGGAGCTTGGTTCCCGGTACACACGCGGTGGCTCACAACTCTCTGGAACTCAGTTGTGGTTCCAGGAAATCCAATGCACCCTTCTGGCCTCTGCAGGCACTGTACGCACATGGTGCACAGGCACACATGCGGGCAAAACATTCAAAAGAACTTTTATAGAATGGTTTTCCAGAGCATTGACATTGCACTAGGTATAATAAGCCCTCTGAAGATGACTTACAATAGACAGGATGTGGGCTAGGGAGATGGCTCAGTGGGTTAGCACTTGCCACATGGCTGGCTAGTTTTACGTCAACTTGACACAAGCTGGAGTCATCTGAGAGGAGGGCGCCTCAGTTGAGAATGCCTCCATCAGATCCAGCTGTAGGCAAGCAAGCCTGTAGGGTATTTTCTTTCTTTCTTTTTTTTTAACTTTCCTTTTATTCATTCTTTGTGTCTTTCCCATCATGCAACCCAACCTGCCCATCTCCTGTGCCCTCGCATCTGCCCTCTACCCCTGCCACCCCCCCCAAACAAAACAAAACAAAATAAAATGTAAGAGAAAAGTGGAGGGAGGAAGAAAGGGAAAACCTCAGCACGGAAGCTGTAGTGTGAGACGGTAGAGTCATGCAGTAACCCCTTTATCCATACATCTTTACGTGCGGTGGTTCATTGCAAGCAATCGCTGATCTGACTCTGCCCCGGCCTCTGTGACACCACTGGAACACTTCCTGGACATTGCCTTGCTGCCCTGTGTCATAGCGATCCTGAAGCCCTGGGTCTTCAGGAACCCCCCCCCCCCGCCCCTCCGTGTTCCAGCAGATCACAGATGGGGTGGATATTGGGGAGAGCCAACACTTAACCCTGGTTCTGGGCCTGGGTAGTTGCAGGATTGGTGAGGCTACCAGCTCTCCCCCATCTTCACCACCAACCAGCACTGCCCTGTCTAGTTAACCCCTTGCAGCCATGAGCAAAGGGCAGGGCCGGTTCCCCGGCTTTCACATCCTCAGGCTTGGCTCTCCCACACCTACACACACCTTCAAGACCAGCTCTACTGTGTTGTCCAGGTGAGGTATAGGTCCCACCCTCTGAGTACGACAGCTGGTGAGGGACAGTTCTCTGGCTTTTATGACCTCAGGGCCAGCACCCCCACCCACTTCAGGAGTTGATGAGGAGGAGGGCATCTCTCCCCACGTCTACTGCTACAGGACAGATGAGTAGTAGGTACAGCTCTCCCATGCTCAAAACTTTGGAGCTGGCTCCCCTACGCCACACCATAAGAGTCAGCTCTACTGTATTGCCCAGGCAAGATGCAGGGTCCATTTTCCTGAGTGTTGCAGATGGTAATAGGGAGGGTCAGCTCCCTCACCCAGCACAGGTGGTCGGGGCAAGAGAGGGGAAAGGAATCTTTCTCTCCGTAGGGCATTTTCTTAATTAGTGATTGATAGAAGAGGGTCTGGCCCACAATGGGTGGGGCCACCCCAGGACTGATAGTCCTGGGTTCTATAAGGAAGCAGACTGAGCAAACCAGTAAGCAGTACCCCTCCATGGTCTCTGCATCAGCTCCTGCCTCCAGGTTCCTATCCACTTTGAGTTCTTGTGTTGGCTTCTCTCAATGGATGGCGACTCAGGATATGTCAGCCAAATAAACCCTTTCCTCCCCAAGTTGCTTTTGGCCATGGTGTTTCATCACAGCAATTAGCCACCCTGACTGTGACATCACGTACTGTGAGGATCTGAGTTTGCGTTCCCAGAACCCACAATCAAGTTGGATGTGGCAGGGAACACATCTGTGATCCCAGTGCACCTATGGCAAGATGGGAAGCAGAAAATGTGCCAGCTAGCCTAGTCTGTGCATCAGTGATGAGAACGTCTCAATCAAGGAACAGACCAGGACTGACACCAGAGAGTGTCCTTTGACCTCTGCACTCACACACAAATACCCATATGCACGCATGCACGCGCCCACACGTGCACACACACACACACACACACACACACACACACACACACACACACACCTCATACTCACACAAAACATTTTTTAGAAGAGTACCCAGAATGTACAAATGTGGGATTTGAACTTCCATGGATTTGCTGCCTTAAGGGGTCTGAGTCTCTCCTGTCAGTGTCCCTCATGGACACTGAAATATAACTATATTTCCACTTTACAGACAACGAACTAGAGGCCTGGAGAGTTGAATGACAGGCCTTGATACCCTGTTGCTGAAGAGGAGACTGTGCTTCTGACTATGACCTAGCAGGTGTGTACACGTGTGGGGTGGGTGCACATGTCCAGGCTAGGCGACTGAGCATCACACTCCCCGGCTATGGCTGCCTCCTCCCCCATCACAGCCAGCAGGAACCAAGGTTTGATTCCCATCATCCACATGGAAGCTTACAGCCATCTCTAACTTAATGTCTCCCGAGATCCCCACTTGAGAGCAGCCTTTCGGTCTCAAGTCAATCCAGGGACTAGACAAGAAAAGCTCCCTGAGCCTAGAAGGAGCGCAAGTTTACTTGGGAGCTGAGAAGGAGAAATACTTAGGCTTGGGAATTTAAGACGAACCTGGGCAGCACAGCAAATCACCATCTCAAAAAGAAAAATGAAGGAGAAAGAGAAAGAGGCAAGGAGAGTGGAAGGAAGGGAAGGAGGCAGAGGGGGGAGGAGGGAAGGGGCCAGGGAGGGAGGGAGGGAGGGTGGGAGGAGGGAAGGAGGAAGTAGGAAAGAAACCAGCTCCCTGGGTGCATCAGGGTGAGACTCAGGTCCAGGCCCCTCTAGTCTCCTACATTTGCCCAGAATCCAGAGCCTGCCCAGCTTTCTCCTCAGATCATGTGTCCTCTCTGCCTTGCTAGGGGCTGGGAATGCCCTCCTTGGGAAGATGGGTCCTGTGTTAAGAGGGCAGGTGGGGGATCGGGCAAGACAGGGTGAATGCCAGGGAGACAGGGCTCAGTGCCCTTCACCAACTGATTCTCTCCCAGGGGAAGTGGCAAACACAGAAAACACATATAGGCTCTAGATACAGAGTCCTCGGCTCGTATGGCACAGAGATTACACTGACTTTTCTGAGGAAGGAGAATGTTGTCTCCCTGGGAGGATATCCATTGGAGCAAGATGGCCCTTCGGTTCCAAGGACCCACTGCCGGCGTGGAGACAGTGTGGTACTGGCTGCTTCTGAAGCGAACTGCAGGCTAAGCATGGCTCCTTCCTGTTACAACCTAGAGAGTCAGCACTGTGCGCACATTTGACAGAAAAGGAAACTGAGGTTATTGAGGTTAGGTAACTTGACCAAGGTCACATATTTAGAAAGTGGTAGAAGCTTTCAAAATACTAAGCTGGGGAAATGCCCATCATTTGTAGAAAAGCTTTCAATAAAGCCTAAGAACGCAGGCTTCCAGTTAACCCTGCCTTACCCAGAAAAGTGAATTCCCCAGAACACCCTGCACCCTGTGTGCATCTGGGAGCATGTTCTGATTAACAACCGAGCTCTCAGTAAGCAGGGCTGACCACAGGAAGAAAACTGTTCGGAAATCAGAAGCGGTGTTCCTGCATTTACTGAGTGCTTGGAGATCCCCAGGGCTAGAGATGGGAGCTGCTGCATCCTCTAGCTGAGGGGCACGAGCTTCCAGGGGGCCCCCTATCCAACCTCTGTGGCTTGCAGGGAAAAGTGAAGCACGCTCAGACACTCACCAACAGTGCAGCCTCCTACCCCATTTCAGTATTGTTTTCCCCATCTACAAAATTAGAGGGTAGCAGACTGTTCGGAGGGAAATCCTATGGATTCAGTTGCCAATTCAGAATTTTGAACCCTGGCTTCTCCTGCCAAGAGTTCATGGATCTTGGGGACCTCAGGGTGGAGCCTCGTGGGAAGCAAGAAGGGGGTCTCCTGCTCAGCTCACCATGGCTTTTCTGACTGGACAACCCAGCCTGGTATTCTTAATCAGCCCTTACGTCCCTGCTTCCCATTGACAGCTGACAATGAACCTGAAATTGACTGCTCAGCGAAAAGGAAGAATGCCCTCCCACACGGAGGGAGTCCAACTCATTAGTGCATGCATCCACCTACCACTGCGTGCGTGCGCCTGTACCTCCCCGCCGCCGCTGACCCAGTGCTTTAAGAAGGAGCTGAGGGACCCCGCCGTCCCAATTCTTTGGTTCAAGTTCTACCACGGCATCCTAGCTATTCCTCACTGACAGACTCCTTTTCATGCACCAGACCCTAGGGGGCTTCCCAGAGCCTGCCACCGCGATGTAAAGCCACCTCTGCTTCCTGTCCTGCCTTCAAGTCATCATTCAGTGTCTGAAAGGGAAGATGTTCCCAGTTGTCTCCTGGAGTCAAAGACTCACTTCGCCCTTGGGGTTAACAGGTGCCTCCTCACCCCCAAACCGCCTGTCACATTTCTGCGCAAGTCATAGGGGACGCTCCAAGTGACGGTACAGGGTACCAGTGTTCAATAGATGAAGGGCTATGTCCAGTCAGTCTTCCCTACCTAGAGCCCAGGATGAGGAAACAGACAAGTGCACTCTGTTCCGAGGCTCATCTGACTCCGTGTGGCCATGAGCCACTACGTGTGTTCATCCTTACGTCTGTCGGGCACACACATCCTGCAGACAACACCGTGTCTCTGCCACTGTGTGTGCCTGTAGGACTCTTCCGGGAGAAAGCAGCCGTGCACCTGCCTACCCAGGAGTTCAAGACAGATCTTGCTTACAGGGTAAACTTTGTGCTGAGATAGCAGCCAGGCCCAGGCGGTGGTACAGCAGGCCCCAGCCAGGTGTCCTGGGTAGCCAGGGAGATGAGCCAGCAGCATCTCTCTCACACACCTGTCTCCAGGTCAAGATGAACTTGAAGCCAGCAGGGGCCCAAGTCAGAGAATTGCTGATTCTGCAAAGTCTCGGACACCCCTCGAAAGCAAGGAACTTCCTGCAGCAGAAGCCAGCTCTGTAGAGACCAGAATCCACACAGGTGACCTTCAGCAGGCTCTTGAGAGGAGCCCGAGAGACCCCTTCCTGCCAGCATCCAGTCCCGGAAGTTCAACCTATGAGAAATAGGTTAGAATAATAAATGCTACTTGAATATGAGATTAGTAAAAACTTTGTTAATTGGTACCTCTGAGGGAGGACATGTGCCACCAAACCAAAGGGCCTGAAACAGATTTTAGGGTCTTGGGGCAGGACATGATGAATTAAGCACTGATTCTTTTCAGGTTGACTGCAGGTATTTCCTATAAAAGGAACCATGAGCAACCAAGAGTAACAGAGACACCGCCACCACCCCCAGGAACGCCAATATCAGGCTTTCAGAAAAGCGTTCACTGTACCCGCCTGAGTGTTCGGGAGGCTGCAAGCTGGGAAGAACCCCTACAGGGTTGCTTGAAGTTGGTGAGGGGATGGTAGGGTAGAAGGAGCCCGTAACCCTTTCCAGATGTCCCATTCCTCGGGCCTCCAGAGAAGGGAAAGACAGTTCTGGATGCCCCAGGACCGCAGGATGCAAAGTCCCCTTGAACAGCCCTTTGTGCCCCCCGCCCTTCCTGCTCCCTTTTGGGGCGGAAAGAGGAACTGTGTGGGGCTTGGGGCTTTCAGCGACACCCGAGGGGCCCGCGACGCTCCCGCCCTGGAGCTCCTACCTGGCAATTATTTGGGCCCCCGAGAAATATCGGTGGCCTTGGCTAACCGAATTATTCTTTCGGTTTGAGCCAGCTCCTCTTTTTGACTCAGATCCGGCGAGGGGCGGGGGGGGGGGGGGTAAAGCGCTTTCCGCAAGTCCCGCGGGTCCTCCGTGCTGGGAGAAGCTGCCGGTCCTGCAGTACCAGCTAGACCTGCTGTAGTCCCTGTCGCTGTCCCAGCAGTTCCCAACCCCGTATCCGCACAGCTGCTGGCGCCAGGCCTGAGCCGGTGTCCCTGGAGTGTCCCTGGTCATTGGGTGGAGGCTCGGTTGAACCAGCACGTGCTTGAGGCCCCCAAAATAGCAAAAGAAACACGCTTGGAAAGTGATCTTTCCCAACGAGTTTCGAATCGCATTTA